TATTTTGTTTGGGGGGGGGGGGGTCGGCGGTAGACGTTCTGAAATAAACTGTAAATGTGATCTTTCTCAAAGGTGAGCTTAGACGTAAGATTTAGGGGTATGATCTGCGATTATATTTACTATGAATGTGCGGCAAAAGTGTAGATCAAGTTTATTAGATTAAGTATTAAGAATGAATTATTAATTAATACAAGCTTTACAAAATCAGTAATCCTCAATTGACTTCGCGTTAAATCAGCTATCGATAACAAGTTGATAGGAATCGGTTCATATAATTACATTTTCCCCACAAAATTAACCATTAGCTTTAAAAGTTTAACAAAAGTCTAACATTAATGACTTAGAGGACTAGAATTTTCTCCGACCCAAGAGTTGCGCCCCTCTGCGTTTCAGAAACGAGTGAAGTCCCCTGGGCGGCATTGCGACATTTCACTATCAAACCGTTATCGCGTTGATGATTACGATTCTATGAGTTTGGCGGGACTGTCGTCTGCTGAGTCCGTGCATATAACACTAGACGTGTCGTTTTCTCAAAGTGACGAATCGACATGATGTTCGACATCTGTTCCTATCTGCACCATCATTGAATAAAGTCAAGTTGAATTGTACAACAGAGAGACTGAATTGTTTCGATATCACACATAAATTGCTTTTGTTATGAATTGTACTCAAAATATTGCATAATAAGTGCTCTGTTTTTTTTTTATAACGATTTTATATCATGGCGGTTTCAAAGCTGCAAAGTTTGGAATGTATATGGTGAGTACTGTGTTTCTATTGGTTGAGTGCCATTATGAAATTTCCATCTCAAGCAAAATAAAATAATATTCAAGGTATAAAGTCTGTATTCTGACAGCGTGGTCTGTAGCTAGAGCCAGTGACTGTTAAGACAGATGCTCGGATCCCTTGTTCTGGTACATCAAACTCGAATCAAGGCTCAACATAAGGTAGGACAAATAAAGATTTTTGTGCATAAAACTGATCACATGATCACCTCTTGAGCCAAACTTCAAAGAAACTCTATATCACCTGCGTTATCAATCGTCGAGGCACCGAAAAACTGTCTTATTTACTTAGGTCTACTTGTATATCAATATTGACATAGAGTTTTATTTTAATGCGTTATTACGGTTTATTCCATATTTAATTAATATTTAAAAGAAAAATAACAATTTAATGTATGCAAGCGGTTTTTAGTCCTGGGCCAGCCACTTCAGTTCGTGCCAGGTCTTGCCAGTAGCCTACACTCCATGTTCTGAGTGGTCTTCTTCTCTTTCATTTTCCACGTGCAGTCAATTTTAGCGCTATGTTTGGGAGTCTTCTTCTGGTCATGCGAAGGACATGACTCAGCCATCTCCATCTCCTCATTTGTATCTCTGAAACAATGTTGTTGAGCGTGTTCAGCAAGGAAGCCTCTACTCCGACACAGTCTTTAGTGAATCCCAAAAATCTTAAGTGACAGTATGTGTAAATTACTTGTCTACAGTAAATTGAATAACAATTTTAATAACGTCTTAAATTGCAATGTGAATTTACGCCAAATTCATTTAGGTAACATCAGTTGTGTAACCAATCTAGTTGTCATACTTCGAATCATAAAAATATAAATCCTAAACAAAAAGCTTTCCTAATTAGATACACACCAGTACACACGTACGGACTCGAAAAATAAAATTAACCCAAGGCTAAATAACATGTATTCATTTTTACTAAAAGTAAGGCGCTGGGCTATACATCTTTCTTTATGTAAAATAGGACTGAAAATGTAACTGGGCACGAAAGGTTTGTGAAATTCAAGACGTTAGCGGGCACGGTGATCGGAAAAATGCACAACGGAAAAATGCACAACGGAAAGCTGCAAACAAAATAATGCGCAACGGAAAAATTTGACCACACGTGGATTGCACGACTACGCTTACACCCACACCATCACCAACCGTTGACCTACTGACTTTGTCCATGCATCCGTCAATCTAATTATCAGCTATGAAAATAAGGGGCACAAAGATAGAGATTATGCCTAAATCCGGAAACTTGCTACATAAAGTTTTTGCAAAATAAACAATGTTTGATAAAATTATTTGATTTCCTCATTTTTTCCTCTATTTTCTGAAAAAAGCTTTCACAAAATTAATTTTTTCAATGAAGAATTTCACACATTTTGTTACAATTTTTTACAAGATTTTGTCTGTTTAAGTAGTGTATATAATAATCAGTTAAGAATTATTTAAGCAATGTGGATGAAAATCACTTTAACAAATTAGTTTAACTAACTAAATTTAAACAAAAACCTGATGACATTAGAATTTTTTTTTTAATATGTGTATGTCTCTTTGGGATGTTGGAAACATAATTTTGAATAATATTAATCAAAAGCGATGTCCTATAATTATGGTTAATATAAGTAGGCTAATTATTCATACTTTTCGATCAAGCTCTTTTAATTCAAAATTGTATTAGTTTTATTTGGTCTGCGATATGTTTATTTTAAAATGAATATATATATATATATATATATATATATATATATATATATATATATATATATATATATATATATACATATGTGTGTGTGTTTGTGTATGTGTGTGTGTGTTAATCGTGTTTCATTGTTATTAATATTTTTGTTTCAATTACAGGTATATATCTATATCACCTTACAAGTTGTATCAAGATGAAGTTTTCAAAAGTTAACATTGCAGCCATACTGTTTATGTGCATATCATACGCACATGGTGAGTCTATTACTATCACACACGGTTAGAAATATAGTTAAAATAGTAAATAAAACTGAAATCAACATAACCAATTCAACGTTGTAGTCTCGCGGTATTAAAATTCTCTCTGTATAATTTGAAGTGTTGTAATGGTGCAAAAAAGTCCAAATCATGATTTTCACAAATCTCGAATAATTTTAGTGCATTTTTGCTTTCTCGTATATACAGAGTAGGCTTCAAGAGAAAGTATTGTAATCGTGCAAAAAATCGAGTTTTTCCCACGTTTTCTTTAACTTGCTTTCGCCTCTGTTTGTTTGTTTGTTTTTCCAATCAAATCTTGCGATCGAAATTTCGTGCACTTCCCAGTTAGCTAGCGCGCTGAACTTTTCAGGGAAGCTTTGTTTCGGATGGCAATAGAATATTCAACTGTTATTATTACTAAATTGATCCATGCAAACATTTTATTGATCATTTTATTCCCCTATATAATTGTACAAAAACGTGGGGAAAAAGGGACATAACCCAGTAACTGTAATTTGATGAAAAGAAGGTTCGGTACTCCCCCTCTTTTTGCTTACTGAGTAGTTGTCTTTCGGTGTTTGTCTACAAACAACCAGAACGTAGCAACTGGTGGCCAGTATGGGGGAGACGACATGGTCGAGTGGTTGGGCACACGATTGCTAACCCATTCGACACGGGTTCAAATCTATGTGTTCTAGTCAGTAACGTATTCACACAACGTGTTTTTACGAGTTGTCTTTTTACGAGTTGTCTTCGTTTACCCAAAAAAAAAGTGAAAAGATAAAATCGATAGCAAGATTTCAATGCAAACAAACAGACAAAGACTAAAAAGTAGAAAATAATAATCATTAAAAAAGTTTTAAAAACCCACGTTTTCTGATTGAACTAAAAAGTAGAAAATAAATGCTATACATCACAATAATGCAAGCGATCACTCTACTATAAGCGATGAAAAACGTGGGGCACCGTGATTTTCTTACAGTTTCTAATACTGTTGACTCTCTACAATCTCCCTAATAAAAGTCAATATTATTATTTAATCAATAGTAATATAACTTTTACTTCGGCGCCCCACGTTTTTCATCGCTTATAGTAGAGTGATCGCTTGCATTATTGTGATGTATAGCATTTATTTTCTACTTTTTAGTTCAATCAGAAAACGTGGGTTTTTAAAACTTTTTTAATGATTATTATTTGCAAATCTCGACGTTTTACATCTCCTTGAGTCGGAAAAGCATAATTTTGCGATCTTGTCCGTATGTCTCTGTGTGTGTATGTGTGTGTATGTGTGTGTATGTATTTGTGTCTGTAAACACGATAACCTGAGTACCGTTATAGCTAGATTTATGAAACTTCAGATATAAGTATTAAATCAAAATCGTAGATCCGTTTCAATTTTTGAGCGATTTCTTATAACCGGAAGTGGAACTTTTTCTACTTTAAATTCTTCAAAAGCCTTTAACTTGAGTACTATTTCAGATAGATAAATGAAATTTCACATATAAGTAAACGATATATCAAAAAACACATGTGAATTTATAAAGTACTAATAATATCCCGCACTGTTATGCACATTTTGTTTGGCGTTCACATGGTGTGTAATTTTTTTTTCTACAATGTTCTATTCTTTTATAAAAAGTGTAAGTAATTAAAAATGGATTTAAAATATTGTCTATAATCGTAGTTGCCATCCCCCGTAGTGTTGTATAAGAATATTCGAGAAAGTTTAAGGGATATCACTCCCGGTTTATTTCATTTGTATTTTTTTGTTTGTTTGTTGTGATTTCTGAATGTAAAAAATGCTTATTTTTTTTTTTTGGTGAGAATATTTTTTCTTAAAGGCTTGCATTTGCAAAAGGAGTCCGGTTTATGAATATTTTAATCATATTTTTTTCAGAAGCAGCCACTTTAAAAAATATTAAAACTAGTTTTTTTGTGTTTTTTTTAAACAAAATATTACATATTTAAATTTTAGAAATGATATTGATACAATGTTCCTAAAACTCTATTTTCTGAAGAAACATGTAGCATGATTTGCCTATAACGAAATGATTTATTGTTTTGGAAAGATGGTGCTGTGTGTCATATACGGTTCTTTCGGGCTATACAACGTTTAGATAGTTGGTACTTCCGAAAAGCTAAAATAAAATTAATAGTTAAGTGATCAAACTATCGTCAGAGAAGTCGCTTTTATGAAGTAGAATGCACCATATATATCCAGACATTACAAAGACATTAACAACGAACGCTACTTTGTTTTAGCCAAGTGTCGCTGCCAGCAAATTACCACGGTGGTCAACGGACAAAATGTGTGTTCCTGCAACCCAGGCTATATCGTCAACCCAGCTAATCCTGCTAAATGTCTAGGTAAGAATATCGATATTGTAAAATCGATACCTTAATCAAAATGGTTTTCCCAGGTAAAGAGCAGCGATAAATTTTACGGTACGACCGAGGATAAACGCTTTAGGGATCAAATATATTTTAAGTAGATCCTTTAAGCAGATCTGGATTATTGTGAAAATGAGCTTATGTTATAAGCAGATATATTTTACAGGTATTTATCTATCGTGTGTTACTCTATCATTGCAATAGTTCTTTTTGCAGCCTTACTAAAATACACGTTTTTAGATTTTTAAAAGATTGTTCATGTTCTGCGTATTCTACTAGTCGATAATTGTGATTGACCAGCTGGACATCAGGTACTACGTAAACAAGTGTAGAGTACACATTATTTGATTCACATACCTGCTTTCTATTGATCAAACCATTTCAGACATCGATGAATGCAAAGCTCAGTCGAGTCCATGTGAACAGGTTTGTACCAACACACCTGGAAGCTACACCTGTTCATGTAATGATGGATACGTTATAAGTAGCACAGACCCTACACAGTGTGACGGTAAGTTTCAGAATTTAACACTTTTATATTTCCTTATAAACGTTGTTAAAATTAGAAATATTATACTATTTGAAATGCATAATTAACTCAGCTGAATAATACATTTTGCTTGCAAACAAAACTTCTAGACATCGATGAATGCAGCGCTCAGCCAAGCCCATGTCAACAGAATTGCACCAACAGAGACGGAAGCTTCACTTGTTCGTGTAGACCGGGATTTGCCGTAAATACCACGGACCCAACTAGGTGTTATGGTAGGTCATTGATAGAATGCTACACAACATTGCTTGATTTTAAATTCGGAAAAAATGACAATAAGTATCGATCATGGGTAAAAAGAAAAACATTACAAAGTAAACAAATAGTTTACTGCCTTTTACGTAAGATTAGTATTTATTGGAGTTTTGTATTTCCTGAAATCGTATAAATCGTTTCTAACAGCATAATTATATTTTTATAGCAAATTGTACCGGCACCAAAATAAGGAATGCGGAATAAAAATTACTTTTTAAAATAAGCTCGAATTTCAAAACACACACACGTACACACACACACACACAAATATATAAATATATATATATATATATATATATATATATATATATATATATATATATATATATATATATATATATATATATATATATATATATATATATATATATATATATATATATATATATATATTTATATATTTATATATGTATATATATATATATATATATATATATATATATATATATATATATATACGTATATATTTTACTTTGTTTAATTATCTCAGAATAAAATATATCATAGACATATACCGTCAAAATATCTCAGTCAAAATATCTCTCGGCAACCTATTTAAAATATTTAGACTGATTTTAAAAACAAGAGATACTTTGTTATATAAAATTATATATTAATGAAATTTGCAAAATAAAACACGAATATTTATACACATGTGTGATGCTTGCCAAACATGTGATAATCCTTAGGTGGACAAAACTAGATTAAAGTAAAAGTTTTTTTTTTTTTTTTTTTTTTTTTTTTTTTGTAATGGAAGGTCAATAAAAATCTACATTAGCAACACGGTAGCAGCCCAATTTGATGGTAAAGATTGGCCAGTACGGAAAACTAATTCTATCTTTGTGAGCTATACAGACGTTATTTAAAGTGTATGTTGTATTATGTTTGTGGTGATAATGCAATAAAACTTAATTTTACTTTACTAAACTGATGAGCAGCTAAATGATATAAAAGTACATTTCACGTACTTTGAACAATAATGCTTTATCGTTAAATACGATACTTATATTAAATTTATAAATAATTTTCTTTGTAAAATGTTTTATTTATGATTTAGGTTGTATATTTAAATGCTTTTAAAATAGATTTTTAATTTAATTCGTCGTTGGAAGTGCAAATGGGCATACGCTGTTCCAGAGTCATACGTATTTATAGTTACATTTTATAAAACTAATTTTTTTATAAAAAATAATATTTCCTAATAATACACTTTTTAAAAATATTTTTATTTCAAATTATCTTGTTATATCTTTTAAAGCACTCTGTGTTCCGTTACCAACTCCAATAAAAGAAACCCGAAACGCTTCATCACCCTTGGTAAATATATTTAGACTTCATAAATATATTCATACTACCGTACTTAATAACATCAATATTTTCTTCATGCAACATATCCACAGGTATCTGAATGCATTTATATATATTATTCTAGACGACGTAGTTTTCCATTCGGTAATGGTCTGTCAACAGCAGTGCACAACACAAACCAATATCCCATATGCCCGCCCCAGAACTTATAAATTTTTAACCCAAATTACATCTGAATCTGAATCTGAATCTGAATCTGAATCTGCATCTGCATCTGCATCTGCATCTACATCTACATCTACATCTACATCCATATCTACATCTACATCTACATCTACATCTACATCTACATCTACATCTACATCTACATCTACATCTACATCTACATCTACATCTACATCTACATCTACATCTACATCTACATCTACATCTACATCTACATCTACATCTACATCTGCATCTGCATCTACATCTACATCTACATCTACATCCATATCTACATCTACATCTACATCTACATCTACATCTACATCTACATCTACATCTACATCTACATCTACATCTACATCTACATCTACATCTACATCTACATCTACATCTACATCTACATCTACATCTACATCTACATCTACATCTACATCTACATCTACATCTACATCTACATCTACATCTACATCTACATCTACATCTACATCTACATCTACATCTACATCTACATCTACATCTACATCTACATCTACATCTACATCTACATCTACATCTACATCTACATCTACATCTACATCTACATCTACATCTACATCTACATCTACATCTACATCTACATCTACATCTACATCTACATCTACATCTACATCTACATCTACATCTACATCTACATCTACATCTACATCTACATCTACATCTACATCTACATCTACATCTACATCTACATCTACATCTACATCTACATCTACATCTACATCTACATCTACATCTACATCTACATCTACATCTACATCTACATCTACATCTACATCTACATCTACATCTACATCTACATCTACATCTACATCTACATCTACATCTACATCTACATCTACATCTACATCTACATCTACATCTACATCTACATCTACATCTACATCTACATCTACATCTACATCTACATCTACATCTACATCTACATCTACATCTACATCTACATCTACATCTACATCTACATCTACATCTACATCTACATCTACATCTACATCTACATCTACATCTGCATCTGCATCTACATCTGCATCTGCATCTGCATCTGCATCTGCATCTGCATCTACATCTACATCTACATCTACATCTACATCTACATCTACATCTACATCTACATCTACATCTACATATACATATACATATACATCCACATATACATCCACATCTACATCTGCATCTACATCTACATCTACATCTACATCTACATCTACATCTACATCTACATCTACATCTACATCTACATCTACATCTACATCTACATCTACATCTACATCTACATCTACATCTACATCTACATCTACATCTACATCTACATCTACATCTACATCTACATCTACATCTACATCTACATCTACATCTACATCTACATCTACATCTACATCTACATCTACATCTACATCTACATCTACATCTACATCTACATCTACATCTACGCCTGCACCTGCGCCTGAGCCTTTGTCTTTGTCTTTGTCTGTTTCTGTTTCTGTGTCTGTGTCTGTGTCTGTGTCTCTGTCTCTGTCTCTGTCTCTGTCTGTATCTGTAGCTGTATCTGTAGCTGTAGCTGTAGCTGTAGCTGTAGCTGTAGCTGTAGCTGTAGCCTTTAGCTGTAGCTGTAGCTGTAGCTGTAGCTGTAGCTGTAGCTGTAGCTGTAGCTGTAGCTGCGTCTTTGTCTGCGTCTTTGTATGATTGTATCTATGTCTTTGTCCAAATACAACATTTAATTAGAGTAAAACGTTTTTTGCCACAGGAATGCTACTCAGCTTGTAGGGCAGAAAATTGCTTCGCTTTCAAGTTTGCCGATGGTGTGTGTACAACCGAGCGCTATGTTGGAGATGTTAGAAATGTTACTCAAAACGTAGTTGCAGGATCAGGCATTGTATGCTACAATGACAGCAGTAAGTTTTTTCCTTGTGTAAATTGGTTTCATTAAGCGTAATGTGAAAACTTAAACTGGCTTGACCTGATCATACCCGACATGACACGATCTAACCTGATACAGCCTGACCTTTCCTGCCTGACCTAAGCGAACCTAGCCTTGCATAATCTTACCTGTATTCATATCCGTAACCACAACCTCTAATACCTCAAGGTACCTGATGCAGTCTAAGACTACACGAGCGAGATCATTCCACCTACTAAACATCTTATTATCAATGGGATTTTTTACTTTCTCATATACGAAGTATATAGGAAGTATTGTAATCGTGCAAAAATTGAAATCGAGATATCTAAAAATCTCGACGTTTTACACCTCCCTGAGTCGGAAAAAAATAGTTTTGCAATTTTGTCTTTATGCCTGTATATATATATATATATATATATATATATATATATATATATATATATATATATATATATATATATATATATATATATATGTATATATGTGTGTGTGTGTTTGTGTGTGTGTCTGTGAACACGATAATGTGAATACAGTAACAGCTAGGTTGAAGAAATTTAATACACAAGCATTATATCAAATGTGTTGTTCTGTTTTAACTTTTCAACCTTTTCCAGTAAACGAAAGTGGAACTTATTTTAGTTTTTCAAAAGCATATAACCTAAGTACTGTTTCAGATAGATAAATGAAATTTCCCATGTATGTAAGAGTACTAATTATCCGCCTTCTGTCAAATATTGAGTAATTTCCATTGGACGGAAGTAGCAATTTACGCTATATTCGGTTTCTTAAAAAAACGCTTCTAAATTTATTAAGTACTAAAATATTCCCCACCATTATACACATCTTTTTTGCCATTAACTTGGTGCGCAATTCTTTTTTTTTCTACAAGATTTTATTCTATTTCAAAAAGTTAAAGTAATTAAAAATGGATTTAAAATCATGTCAATATTGCAAGTTGCTATCCCCCGTAGTGTTATGTAAGAATATTACATAAAGTCTAGGGGAGATCACTCCCGGTTTATTTTATAAAGATTACACACTTGTTGAATAGAAAAAAAAACATCTTTTTTACTATACAATATTTGTCTTTTAATGCGATTGGTATAATAATTTCCTCCAAGATGATTTGATCAAATTTATAATCAAGCATAATTTTAATAGTTCGGTATGTTCTTATTTTACTATACTTTCTCATATGCGTTAGAGTATGATCAAAAGTGGATAAAAACAAAGTGCAAATAAGAGTACTCTGGCTGAATCGATTTTTTTTAAAAACAATCTGAGATTTTGTTCTATGCATAGTAAATATTTAAAGAGATTATTACATAAACTGCTATTTCATGTATCTGCTCTTTATCTTTTTGGTAATGTATCAAACAAAATTATTATTGTTAATGTATGCATTTACAATAGTATTTTTTTTCTTCTATGTAGCACAGTGCACTTTAAAAAGCGGTGCAACACCCGTAAAAGTTACTCCAACAAATCACGAGGTAAACGTCATGTCTTTAGGACAGAAAGTCATTTAATTAAACGATTTAGAACAGAACACTGCACATTTGCATTAGATAACATAATATCTGATCATTCAAAGTCAATTCTGTATTTCAAGTTTTAAAATAATTGGTACATGTGGTGTATATAGGCATATATATATATATGTATATATATATATATATATATATATATATATATATATATATATATATATATATATATATATACTAGCTGCATACCCGTGCTCTGCAGCGATAAGTCATTTTTAAATGTACCAACTTGGGAACATAACAAAACTAAACACAACGCAAACACAGTACAAACACAACACAAACATAAAACAAACACAAACACAAACACAACACAAGCACAACACAAACACAACACAAACACAACAGAACACAAACACAACACAAATATAACACAAACACAAAACAAATACAATAGAGAACACTCATCAATTAGCATTCACATGATGATAATAATATTATTGTAACACTAATTCCCTCAAGGATGTCCGCTAAAATTACAATCACATTTTGCTAATTCTATTATTGCAACACTAATTCCTTCTAGGCGGTCCGTAGATTTTCCATTCACATTTAAAAAAAAAATTATCGTGAGTTGAATATATTTTAATATTACGTCCCTTGTTTGTGTTTTCTTTGTGTTTGTGGTTGGGTTTGTCTTTGCGTTTGTTTTTAATTTTCATTTGTGTTTGTTTTGTGTAAGTGTTATGTTTGCGTTTTTTGTGTGTTTTTGGTTGGTTGTGGTTAGGGTGGGCAATGCCGAATAAATGCTGATTACTAAACACACAAGTTATGGTCCTTTATAGATACGTTTTTCAGAGATGCCAGTGCATTAATCTATTGAGGATGTTTTTGCTCTCTAATACAGGCTTGCTATACCAATTGCCTTGACAATCCCGAGTGTATCGGCTATCTTTATATCCCCGGAGTATATTGCATGCTGTACTATCCGTCTGGATCCATTGTTGACATAAACAATTTTCCGGTGGATAAATTAGTCTATCTTGATTGTGATAGATGTGAGTGGCTGAAAAAGTATCTATCGTAATATTAGCTCATAATGTTTTTCATTTTTTTAAACGAACGCTTTTCCAACACTTTTGATTATATAAAAATTATTATTTTAAATGCAACCCCTTTTTAAATTGTAAGCCTATGTTGTACAAGTTTCGAGAAATATGTAATATCTTAATATCTGAACAATGTGTTTTACCACAGAAAAAACAATTGGGGAAACAAGTCTACATTGAAGGCAATGAAGTACTGCGGACTGTCAAAATGTGTTAATCTAACTTCTTAGATGATTTGTCTTCCTATGTAAAACAATTGAATAAATCCTAGCACCTTGAACGTAGTGTCCTCTTTATTTTTTAAAATGTTTGCTAGTCTTTACGAAATTTGAGAATATTGATTTCTATACAAAAATGCAGGCAAGTTTTCTTATAGAATAATGTTCATGTTGAATGCAAAAAAATATATATAATAATATGTGTATGTGTAGGTAGACTTCTCGCCGTTGTATGTGGATAAATAACTGTTTGACTACGTGTAAATTTGCATGTAAATGTAGGTCTATTCGTAAGGTATAGGGATAATAGTTGGGGTAAGTGTAGGGGTTGAGGCAGGGGTAGGACGGTAGGTATAAGTATAGTTATGTAAAGGGGTAGATGCCACCTTTCCACATTTTAGTTCCGCTAAGAATTTGTGATAAAAAATAAAATTATGGATCCAATAATACTAATGGGCGTGTTTGTTTGCTGGGCAGTAAGCTGTTTGCAGTAACTTGACTTGGGTACAAACCACACTCTGACGCTGATGTTTGTCAACACGACACAACACAGATGGTTTTTCTTCTACTTCTCCGTTCTTAATTTTAAATATTGGAAGGAATTCCTTACAGCATGATTAAGTATTAGGTGTGAATTTGTTAAGTCACAGAGGCGTATCTAGGGTACGGTGGGTGGGGCGACCGCCTTGGGCGCCGACCCTATAGAGGGGGTGGAGTGCCACAGAGGGTAAAAAATAAAGCAAATTCTGAGCAGAAATAATGAAATATATGTTAGCGTGTGGATTGTTTTAACCGATTGAAGAGAGGGATGGATGATGATCTTAAATCCCACTCGTTGCTACCAAATGCTAGGGTGATATACCAATTGGAGAGAGAAATAGTGATGGTATTATTCCCTCAAATCCGTGCATTCCCCTTCGGAAAAAGAAAAGGTTTACCAGACCTGACAAAACTAGCTACTTCGCACTAATACAATATTAATATTAACTAAAAATAAATCTTAGTAACAGACAGATAATACATTTATCTATCTTCATTTTACGTCACAAAGATATATATGTTAATTGCAAAAGCAAAAGAAACAACACAAATAAGACCTGGCCAGTTTCATATTCAAGAAACATCACTTGAATTTCTAATACAAGTCAAAAAGACAAAAAATCCTTAAACTTACATATCCATACATAATTATGCACCTTCATTAATCACATTAATTCATAAAAAAACATATAAGTGTAAGTTGTAACCCTACATTTACACAACTCAGAATGCACATAGACAAATGTCATTTTCTCTAGTCCTAACTTCACTACTTGCACTGCTTGTGTAATCTGGGAGGCACCAATGTAAATGTCATTATCAATAGTTCTTATTTTTCTACTTGCACGGCTACCTAATCTCAGAATCACAACAATCCAGCTCGACATTCAAGCGGCAGGAAGATTTCCAGCCACCGGACTAAAACATTGTGCCCAAGACACATTGGGAAGAAGAATTACCCTTATGAAGGATATTTTATTCAGCACTTTGCCCATTTAACTCACGTTCTATAACGATAGTTAGGTACCCATAAGAGCTGAGCGAACTCACATAAATCCTACAGATTCGTGTCAGTGATCCGAACGCGAGACCTTCAGGTAAATAGTTGTAAACTTCACTATTATACCAGTTTGTTCCCTATAGTCTATATACCCAGCTTTTTACGGCGACAATTGGCAACAGTATAGTGCAGGTGTTGGCGTTCCATTTGCTCTGGCCCTAGTTAAAATTCATGACAGCTGTAAATTCTCTCCCACCGTGGTTATACGTAGGTTCACCTGGTTGTGTACATCAATGTTTTATTTCAACAAAGGCAAAAGTTTCTTACATGTAATATTTTTTTACCCTCAAAATCATAAAAATTGATATTACATTAACAACACAATTATTTCTAAATTTAAACTCCAAAACCATCTTTAAACTAAGCCTAAACATAGTGGAAACTAAATAACAACGACAATCTAAGGTTTAGCTAAAAATTACTCAAAAACACAATGTTAATTTGTAATTAGACATTGATTTTCACATGTTTTTTAATGAACTAGCTCTGAGTTTTATTTTTTCGTAATTTATCATTACGTTGCTACTTTACAGAATTAGATGTAATAAAAAAACCTGGACTATTTATGAATTTTTTGTTCCACTAGCATTTTAAATTTACATTATTCAGTATTAAAGTTTTTAAATATGTCCTTGTATTATACCTGTAATCCAATTTGTGTAATCCACCACGCGAGGCTTAACAATCCAACCCAAGACACCAAGGTACACATAATCCACAAAACCAATCCACATTTTCGATGTTGAACTCACGATCTTTCCTATATTTCCAGAACGAGTTTAATCAACGAGTTATAGTTATTTAATTGAAATTCAGTACATGACAAAGTTGTATACAAAGGTAAATACTTTACACTAGAGAACACGGTTTAGGAATCCTACTAAACTGTATACGAAATAATCCTAAAACTAGACACTTGTATGATATGAAATTTATATTTATTTTTTCTTTAATATTTCTTCATCTGTACAAGAAAAGTCTAAATTACAATATTAAAATCTACAATTATTTTTAAAAGCCTATTTTGGCTTTAAGCCCGCTTTTCAAAAGCAACCATTTAAGTTAGTTAAAACTAAATACTTTGAAAACTATTGACATGGGTGCATTTTACAAACACAAACCTTAAAAAGAACAATGTAAACAGTGAATAGTGGGGGGGGGGGGTAATAAACACTGGTAAATCTAACATTAATTGAGCCGTACACCCTCTAGCGATAATGTGCGGACTTTAAAATGATATTGCATTAATTTCTAATATATAGACTTTAGCCCGGGATCTCAACTCAAGACTTTCAGGCTATTGGTTCTACCAATACAACAAAAGTACACTTTATATTGTAAAATCACAATGGATTGTTGGCCTCTAACCTACGCTATATAGAAGCACAAAAATTCTAGCGGCATAGAATATTGCCGACAACACCATGTGTTTCATTGTAGGAGAAAATGGGCTCGGCGTTCACAATGGTTTAAAAACAAAAGGGAAAAAGAATTAAAAAAAAAGAGCGTGGGATGGTATCTATAGAATAAAGATAATCCAACCGCAGCTACAGTATTCTCTTTACAAAACAACCAACAAGTAAAAAATGCACGAAAATTATGTATTTTAAATTACAAAAAAATTAATGTCTGCTGTGGGACCCCTAAACGCCCCCCCCCCCCCCCGCACGCATAGTGGGGTTTCGCGGCGCTGTAGTTCAGTCCCTGCCCTCCATCGTCATCAAATCCAAACCGCCTTCGCATCAACCAACAAGTAAAAAATGCACGAAAATTATGTATTTTAAATTACAAAAAAATTAATGTCTGCTGTGGGACCCCTAAACGCCCCCCCCCCCCCGCACGCATAGTGGGGTTTCGCGGCGCTGTAGTTCAGTCCCTGCCCTCCATCGTCATCAAATCCAAACCGCCTTCGCATCAACCTACGCAAATACTTTCACTGTAGCAAAACACATTGTTTTTCAGTATTTAAAATAAGATACAAATGTATGTATGGTCTTTTTGTTGCAACCAACTCCAAACAAACAGCTGTATGCTAATATAGTTTCTTTGTGCAAAACATTTATTGCATTCTAAATTAATTGTGTTGGTCTTCCAAAGCCATCTAGTTTTCAAAACACAGTAACAAAAGATTGAAATATACACAGGTGTTACAAACGTGAATAAATGCCCAAAACCACCCTAAGCACTTCTAACGCCCCCCCCCCCCCCAACGAAATATAATGTAAATAGTAAATTTATACTCTTACCGGTATACCCCCCCCCTCTCCTGAAATGTTCAAGTACCCTCCCCCACCCCTCGAGGTAAAAATGAACTAAGACCCTTAGGCGATAGTTTCCTTTTGGAAGTTCCTCGTATGCCAGACTCTATAGTTGACGCCCTGCCCGTTGGGCCCATGAGGTGTGTGGAGAGATGCCTGATACATTTGGTCCTCTCAACTTAGACCCATGTATGTGTGCTTGTGTTTCCAATGCCTAATCATTCAATAGATTATTAGACTATGGAACCATATTTAAACATTGAAATCAAAATTAATATAATAGTTTATTTATATAAATTAATATAAGTTCTATGTCTACTCAACTAGTTTGAGTTTGAACACATTTTTTGCTTAACAATATTTTTTATATGCCATCTTCTCCCTTCCGTTGCATAGATAGTTCGCGTTACTGCGTTTTTCATCTCTTTAAATAATGCAGTGGTTTAGTTCGAGTATTCATGTCAATTCAATCTCATATGTTATGTTGTATGTGCTTGTCTATATAACAAAAAAATGTGATGTTTTTTTTTCAGATTCCTTTTTCTTTCTTTCCTCAAGTTTAACGCTAGTAGTGCAATAGATAGAAGAGAATTTTACACCTTGCTGGCATAGTAACCGAAAAGTGACCTATATATCTTAGACCAGTAGTTCTAAAAATCATTTGGAAGGTACAGAACCCCCAATAGTTCTTTAAGCGCTTTAACCGAACCATTTGTAACCATCGTCTACAACAGAGGTTCCCAACCTTTTTCGAGTGGCGACCCCCTTTTATAAAAAGTATGTGACCCGCGACCTCCATAGAATTAAAAAGCCGAAATTAGTATAGACATTAATAAGCACTAAAATAAGATTTTCTAGTAGACTTTCAATATAAACTACTCTTGATAACTGTTTTAATAGCGTGAGTAAAATTACATACTATTCAATAAACCTTCGTGGTTAAGTTTTTAATTTTTAAAAAAAATTGTTAACGCCAACCTATGTGATTATAATTATCTTAATTTTGTTTTTAATCGAAGAAAAGTGTTGAAAAGATATTCTCGAAAAGTCAATAAATTTTACGTTTGGGTATTACATTTCCAGTGATGTTAATGAAGCCGAATTTCAAAAATTCTTCTAAATATTTATGTTTCGTTTCAAATTACTAAGGTTTAGTA